AGAGTTCAATAACTAGAACTGTTTAATAGAAGGGTTCATAAAACTGCAGTCTGACGGAAACTAAGTCATACACAAATTGATGTTAGTATCACCATATCTTTTTAATTTGTTTAAGTGTTGGCTGTAAAATAAGTAAAACGTAATATCCAGGCCTTAAAATGAGAACAGTTAAGTCTGCATAGTAAACATACCTGGCCTGATTAGTTCTGTAATATTACCATCAAATTTCTTTTCTAGGGCAATAAAGCATATCACCTGTAAGAGTCGCCCAACACTGGATATAAACTATAAAGAATCCTAAATTAAAATGTTCTCACTTAGTGGATGTTTATCAAATGAATTATGCTTCATTAAAGTGACTCATCATTCATGGTTAAAATCTATTATTGGATGAGGAGAGAGGTTGACCAAACAACATCACAAATTTTTAAACTTAAATAAAATGGTAAATTAATTTACTAATCTGATAAAGCGAGGACAAACAACTGATAAATCAGGTACTGTAGAAAGGGAATTGATCAGGAACACAAGAAACCTGGTAATAGTTATTGGGAACTGATCAGGAACACAAGAAACCTGGTCATAGATATTGGGAACTGATCAGGAATACAAGAAACCTGGTATTCGTTATTGGGAACTGATCTGGAATACAAGAAACCTGGTAAAAGATATTGGGGATTGATCTGGAATACAAGAAACCTGGTATTAGAAATTGGGAACTGATCAGGAACTCAAGAAACCTGGTAATAGATATTGGGGATTGATCTGGAACACAAGAAACCTGGTACTAGATATTGGGGATTGATTTGGAACACAAGAAATCTGGTACTAGATATTAGGGATTGATCTGGAACACAAGAAACCTGGTAATAGATATTGGGGATTGATCTGGAACACAAGAAACCTGGTAATAGATATTGGGAACTGATCTGGAACACAAGAAACCTGGTAATAGATATTGGGAACTGATCAGGAATACAAGAAACCTGGTAATAGTTATTGGTAACTGATCTGGAATACAAGAAACCTGGTAATAGATATTGGGGATTGATTTGGAACACAAGAAACCTGGTATTAGATATTGGGGATTGATCTGGAACACAAGAAACCTGGTAATAGATATTGGGAACTGATCTGGAATACAAGAAACCTGGCAATAGATATTGGGGATTGATCTGGAATACAAGAAACCTGGTAATAGATATTGGGAACTGATCAGGAATACAAGAAACCTGGTAATTGATATTGGGAACTGATCTGGAACACAAGAAACCTGGTAATTGATATTGGGAACTGATCTGGAACACAAGAAACCTGGTAATAGATATTGGGGATTGATTTGGAACACAAGAAATCTGGTACTAGATATTGGGGATTGATCTGGAACACAAGAAACCTGGTAATAGATATTGGGGATTGATTTGGAACACAAGAAACCTGGTATTAGATATTGGGGATTGATCTGGAACACAAGAAATCTGGTACTAGATATTGGGGATTGATCTGGAACACAAGAAATCTGGTACTAGATATTGGGGATTGATCTGGAACACAAGAAATCTGGTACTAGATATTGGGGATTGATCTGGAACACAAGAAACCTGGTACTAGATATTGGGGATTGATCTGGAACACAAGAAATCTGGTACTAGATATTGGGGATTGATCTGGAACACAAGAAACCTGGTAATAGATATTGGGAACTGATCAGGAATACAAGAAACCTGGTAATAGTTATTGGGAACTGATCTGGAATACAAGAAACCTGGTAATAGATATTGGGGATTGATCTGGAATACAAGAAACCTGGTAATAGATATTGGGAACTGATCAGGAATACAAGAAATCTGGTACTGGAGACAAGAGATATATCATTTATAAAAAATTCTGCTGACATTTTACATGTTATCAAACATCCAGTATTCCTGTTGACCTTTTTGACTTGAACTTTGTACTTTAAAAAATGCAGTTTGATCATTAATAACCCAATGTTTGTGTATCTAAGTCATCATACCCTGAATAAAACACTGAAAGGAAGAAAACAGTTTTAACAATATCACAGAATAATGAAATACAAAACAACGGTTATAACAGATAGAAAATCAATGTGTTCCTTTTTCTCCTTGGAGATTTCAAAAGGTAACGGAATGGTTTGTCAATATTCATGTTGCCTTCACTAGCATCCAATGACGTATTTTACACTGCAAATGAAAAACAAATCACCAACTGCTTGACTAAAGCTGTCAGGTCAATGTTAGCATAGATCTAAATACAGCAACTGGGATGGCGCCCACATCAAGGTGTGCATCTGATTAAGTCAGACAATTCCTAACAGTCTAGTCCTTTATGAAGTAATATAAAAAAGGCAATAAAGTCACAAATTCTCTCATAGGATCACAAGCTTCGATATTTCTCATTTGACTGATAATAAAACTAATCTAAACAACAAAACCAATATTGTGGTTTTAATATCTCTAACTTCAGATTTCTAATGGTCTTATATTAGGGAAAACTAAAAAGGCCCTTAGATTAATTTGACAGAGGAATTTAAACTCTTTAACTGCAAACTGTTTGTCAGTGTTCAAAACTCTCAGCTAGGAAATGAAGATCTTGTACATGCCATCTTTAAATATCTCCTAAATCTTAAAATACTCTTCAAAATCATACTGAATTAAAAATCATAGTTCTTGTTGAAACTTGAATATTTATGATAACAAATTGTACGTCATTGCCTCTACAACTGAGACAAAATCAATAGTAAGCTTGTAATGAATGGAGTAATAAATGGATCTCATTTACAATGTTATAGAGACAGGAGAGAATACAGGTGGGGAGGGTAGGCCCAACAGTACAACAACACCTAAACTGTAAACCTCGGCCGATGGACCGGCGTTCTTACGTCATGCTCTATAATTCAAATGACCATGATACAGGTGGGATTTAAATATTTAAGCAGAAAAATGCTCAATAGAGACAGGAAGCAGAATTTAATTCCATACATTCAAAATCTAATTCTTGAGTTGTCAGATAGAAGAAGTTAAATGAGATTATAATACACATTTGTAAAATTCCACAGGAAGTCAGCATGCTTGTGTAAATATTGGAACACAGCTCCAGGTGAGAGAGAGGTAAATCACAATCCTACCTAGATAAGGTTGTTGAGGAGTAACACAGCTAGCTCAGGTACAACCTCGTTACTCAGGTACAGGTACAACCTCACAACCCAGGTACAGGTACAACCTCGTTACTCCGGTACAGGTAAAACCTCACAACCCAGGTACAGGTATAATCTCGTTACTCAGGTTCAGGTACAACCTCGTAGCTCAGGTACAGGTATAATCTCGTAGCTCAGATACAGGTATAACCTCACAACCTAGGTACAGGTACAACCTTGTTACTCAGGTACAGGTATAACCTCACAACCAAGGTACGGGTACAACCTCACAACCCAGGTATAGGTATAACCTCGTTACTCAGGTACATGTATAACCTCACAACCCAGGTATTGGTACAACCTCGTTACTCAGGTACATGTATATAACCTCCCAACCCAGATACAGGCACAACCTTGTTACTCAGGTACAGGTACAACCTTGTTACTTAAGTACAGGTACAACCTTATCACCCATGTACAAGTACAACTTCACAACTATTTTACAGGCACAACTAAGTTACTGAGGTACAGGTACAACCTCGTTACTGAGGTTTAGGTACAACCTCGTTACTCAGGTACAGGTACCTTAGGTACAGGTACAACCTCGTACAACCTCATCACTCACGTACATGAACAACCTCACACCTAAGTTACAGGCACAACTAAGTTACTGAGGTACAGGTACAACCTCGTTACTTAGGTACAGGTACAACCTCGTTACTCAGGTACAGGTACAACCTTGTTACTTAAGGACAGGTACAACCTTATCACCCATGTACAAGTACAACCTCACAACTAAGTTACATGCACAACTAAGTTACTGAGGTACAGGTACAACCTCGTTACTTAGGTACAGGTACAACCTCGTTACTCAGGTACACTCTTCAAAACTTATGTATAAGTACACAGAAGCTCTCTAATGTAATGTCATGTGCATCTTCCTGTCACCAAGTTTGCTAATATAAAGTATTGGGTACAGTACTGTCACTCCAAATCACTGAAGTAATGTCTAGTGAATCTCCAAGTCACAAAATTCACTAGTGTTGTTATAGTTCACTAATTCAATTTCCAGTGAATCTCCCAGTTGCAGAGTTGACAAATTTAATACCCAGTGAACCATGAACAAAGATTACCATTTAATGTCTAGTAAAGTACAAAGTTTACTATTGCAATATACTGTATATCTAGTAAATGTTCTGATCACAGAATTTATTATGTATTATATTGTATCTGCAGGTCTAATGTCCCGTACTGGAATGTATAGACATCTGTCTCATTAACCTAACAATACAGCATTAGAGTATCATCAGGAACCCAGTGTAAAGCAGAATCCAGTATAATTGACACCTCAACTGTTTATTTAAAAAGTTTATAAACTGAAATCTGTATAATTCAGAATTCTGTATAATTCAGGAATATGTATACTTCAAACATCCTTATACTTCAAAAATCTATATAATTCAAAAATTTGTATAAAACTATAGTTAAACTTATATTATTATCTAAGTCCTGACTGAAATAATTGATTCAACCACTATCTAACCTGATAAGCTTTGAGTTCATTTGTGTGACTTTCTTAATCTTAGGGAACATTAAAGATTGTAACTGTTGGTAAGGTTTGTGCCAATCAGAAGTTTACAGAATTTATATGTTAGAAATGACCTCATTTCGTGTCTATCAAAGAGATAAGATAGAGAGGTAATTTCATGATGAAATACCCCACTCAATTACCGTCCCAAACAACAGTGTTCATAGCTCAGTTTACATCCAAATACAAACAGACTATACAAGGAAACATAAAACAACCTGTCTATATCCTAGAGGTCAATCAACAACTCAAACTTACCTGGGTAGTAATGGGAGATGGACGTCCTCTTCTTAGGGAAGTAGTAGGGCGAAAAGAAATGGTGATGATGATGATGAGACAGGGGCAGATGTCTATGATGGTAGGCCCCTGTCCAGACGGGCTGCTGTACCAGGCAATCCATGGTCCAGGTGTGTGAAGATGGCGAAAAGGTAAATATAACAGTCGTTACAGGTGAGGTGAAGTATCTTGGGTCCGGCCAGCGATTATTATAAGGACAAATGCATGGCCACCGTCATGAAGTCTGGGTGTGTGTTTCTACTCTTGTTGAGAGCTCGTCAATACTAACCAATCTACCTGTCTACCTCACCTTACCTACCTGGGGAAATCCAATAATACCTAGCGGTCACGTGATCACCTAAAGTCTCTGGCAGGCACAGCTCCTATTTACCTACCGTTATTGGGTATTTGAATAGACACTGGTGCGTTTAGTGGTCGGGACAATACACAGTCTGTTCTCTCTACAAGCGTCACCAATCAACCATTACCTGGTTGTTTTGGCACCCAGTCAAAATTAACCAATATTTAAAATAGACGACTAGTGTAATACATATCCGCATGATTGAACACTGTAAGTCTAAATGATATTAATTGTTAAGCTGGTGAAATTTATGACAGCTCTTCTTTCATTATACCAGTTCTTATCAGGTTTGTGTTTCTAAAGAAGATGAAAGATTTGGTGATTAAATTCAAAAGAGATAGGGATAGCACTACCTCATTATGTGTACCTAATAGGTAACAAAAGTGTAATCCTTTCACCTGATAGGACCAACAAGGTTACAACTTCAATGGACAAACACCTGTAATACTGTACACTGGACAAACACCTGTTATATCATACAGTGGTCAAACACCTGTAATACTGTACACTGGGTAAACATCTGTAATACTGTACACTGGACAAACACCGGTAATACTATCAACCGGACAAACACCTGTAATACTGTACACTGGACAAACACCTGTAATACTGTACACTGGACAAACACCTGTAATATCAAACACTGAACAAACACCTGTAATACTGTACACTGGACAAACACCTGTAATATCATACAATGGACAAACACCTGTAATATCATACAATGGACAAACACCTGTATTATCATACACTGGACAAACACCTGTATTATCATACAATGGACAAACACCTGTAATATCATACACTGGACAAACACCTGTAATATCATTCACTGGACACCTGTAATATCATACACTGGACAAACATGTGTAATATCATACTCAGGGCAAACATGTGTAATATCATATAATGGACAAACACCTGTTATACTGTACACTGGACAAACAACACTACTACTGTATACTGGATAGACACATGTGCAGTGTACACTGGACAAACCCCTGTTACATCATACATTGGACAAACACCTGTAATACTGTTAACTGGGCAAACACCTGTTATATCATACACTGGACAAACACCTGTACTATCATACACTGGCCAAAGACCTGTTATATCATACACTACACAAACACCTTTAATATCATACACAGGACAAACACCTGTAATATCAAACACTGAACAAACACCTGTAATACTGTACACTGGACAAACACCTGTATTATCATACAATGGACAAACACCTGTAATTTCATACAGTGGACAAACACCTGTAATACTGTAAACTTGACAAACACCTGTAAGTTCATACACTGGACAAACACCTGTAACATCATACACTAGACAAACACCTGTAATATCATACACTGGACAAAACACCTGTAATATCATACACTGGACAAACACCTGTAATACTGTACACTGGACAAACACCTGTAATACCATCAACTGGACAAACACCTGTAATATCATACACTGGACAAACACCTGTAATATCATACACTGGACAAACTCCTGTGATACTGTACACTGGACAAACACCTGTAATACCATCAACTGGACAAACACCTGTAATACTATACACTGGACAAACAGCTGAAATATCATACACTGAACTAAAACCAATAATACTGTCTACTGGACAAAAACCTGTAATATCATACACTGGACAAACTCCTGTAATATCATACAGTGGACAAACACCTGTAATACTGTACACTGGACAAAGACCTGTAATACTGCAACCTGGACAAACACCTGTAATACTATACACGGGACAAACACCTGTAATACTGTACACTGGACAAACACCTGTAATACTATACACTGGGCAAACACCTGTAATACTATACTGGACAAACACCTGTAATACTGTACACTGGACAAACACCTGTAATACTATACACTGGACAAGCACCTGTAATACTGTACACTATACAAACACCTGTAATATAATACACTGGACAAACATCTGTAATATCCTACACTAGACAAACACCTGTAATATCATTCACTGGCCAAGCACCTGTAATACTGTAGGAGAAATAAACCTTGTTTAGTTATGATGAAATTTTACTTCATCTCCTGAAATATTCATAAAAAAATTCCGTGAAATTTGGGGGCATGGTTTCTACAACATTGAATCATGTTGGGCCAAGGATACTCTATATCAAATTAGATTAAGATAAAGCAATAGGATAAAGTAGGTAAAGATCATTTTCATTTGCAAACTTTGTTGGGCTCCTTCTAAGGAAACAACTTGTTAAAAAGCATGACTTCATGCCTGTCACTTCTTCAAAAGAAGCTGTTTGCACTTTTTGCTATATTTGACCCCTGTGACCTTGAAAGTAGGTTGAGGTAATTTTCAATAGCCAACTTTGTCGGGCTTCATCTGTGACAGTTACAAGCCAAATATTATAATTCTATGCCTTTAGATTATTCAGAAGAAGTAATTTGAAGTGTTTGACATATTTGGCCCCTTTGACCTTGGTAAGTTGTGGTATTTTTCATTCGCAAACATTGTCGGGCTCAATCCAAAGAAGACATCAGCCAAATAATATGATTCTATGCATTTCAATTATTCAGAAGANAACTGTACACTGGTCAAACATCTGTTATATCATACACAAGACAAACACCTGTAATACTGCACACTGGACAAACATCTGTAATATTGTACACTGGACAAACACCTGTTATATCATACACAAGACAAATACCTGTAAAACTGTACACTCGTCAAACATCTGTTATATCATACACTAGACAGACACCTGTAATACTGCACACTGGACAAACATCTGTAATATCATACACTGAACAGACACCTGTAATACTGTATACTGGGAAAACACCTGTAATACTGTACACTAGACAAACACCTGTAATACTGTACACTGGGAAAACACCTGTAATACTGTACACTGGACAAACACCTGTAATATCATACACTGAACAAACACCTGTAATACTGTACACTGGGCAAACACCTGTAATATCATACACTGGGTAAACATCTGTTATACTGTACACTGGACAAACACCTGTAATACTATAGGTGTTTGTTCAGTGTATGATATTTCAGGCGTTTGTCCAGTGTATGATATTACAGGTGTTTTTCCAGTGTATGATATTACAGATGTTTGTCCAGTGTATGATATTACAGGTGTTTGTCCGGTGTACAGTATTACAGATTTGTACCCAGTGTTCAGTGTTACAGGTGTTTGTTCAGGGTATGATATTATAGGTGTTTGTACAGTGTACAGTATTACAGATATGTACCCAGTGTTCAGTATTACAGGCGTTTGTTCAGTGTATGTTATTACAGGTGTTTGTCCAGTGTATGATATTACAGGTGTTTGTCCATTGTATGATAATCGTGTGTTTTTCCAGTGTATGGTATTACAGGTGTTTGTCCAGTGTACAGTATTACAGATGTGTACCCAGTGTTCAGTATTACAGGTGTTTGTTCAGTGTATGATATTACAGGTGTTTGTACAGTGTACAGTATTACAGGTATTTGTCCTTCTGTTATATCATACATTGGACAAACACCTGTACTTCTGTACACTTGACAAATGCCTGTAATACTGTACACTGGACAAACACCTGTAATATCATACACTGGACAAACACCTGTAATCTGAACACTTGACAAACACCTGTAATACTGAACACTTGACAAATACCTGTAATACTGTACACTTGACAATCATTTGTAATACTGTACACTGGACAAACACCTGTAATATAATACACTGGACAAACACCTGTAATATTATACACTGGACAAACATCTGTTATATCATACACTAGACAAACACCTGTAATATCATACACAAGACAAACATCTGTAATACTGTACACCGGACAAACACCTGTTACATCATACACTAGACAAACACCTGTTATATCATACACTATACAAACACCTGTTATATCATACACTGAACAAACACCTGTAATATCATACACTAGACAAACATCTGTTACATCATACACTAGACAAACATCTGTTATATCATACACTGAACAAACACCTGTAATATCATACACTAGACAAACACCTGTACTATCATTCACTGGCCAAGCACCTGTAATACTGTAGGAGAAATAAACCTTGTTTAGTTATGATGAAATTTTACTTCATCTCCTGAAATATTCATAAAAAAATCGTGAGATTTTATATCAATGATGTTTAAATGTAAACAATCGGGATGGGGGCATGGTTTCTACAACATTGAATCATGTTGGACCAAGGATACTCTATATCAAATTAGATTAAGATAAAGCAATAGGATAAAGAAGGTAAAGGTCATTATCTTTTTCAAACTTTGTTGGGCTTTTCTAAGGAAACAACTTGTTAAATAGCATGACTTCATGCCTGTCACTTCTTCAAAAGAAGCTGTTTGCACTTTTTGCTGTATTTGACCCCTGTGACCTTGAAAGTAGGTTGAGGTAACTTTCAATAGCCAACTTTGTTGGGCTCCATCTGTGACAGTTACTAGCCAAATATTATAATTCTATGCCTTTAGATTATTCAGAAGAAGTAATTTGAAGTGTTTGACATATTTGGCCCCTATGACCTTGGTAAGTTGTGGTAATTTTCATTCGCAAACATTGTAGGGCTCAATCCCAAGAAGCCATCAGCCAAATAATATGATTCTATGCATTTCAATTATTCAGAAGAAGTCATTTTAGGTATTTGGCACTTTTGACCCCTGTGACCTTGAAAAGGAGGTCAAGGTTATTTTCGTTCTAAACTTTGTTGGGCTCTTACCAACGAAGCTACCAACCACAAATTAAGAGTCTATACCATTCAGTTCTTAAGAAGAAGTTGTGTGAAGTATTTGGACACTTTTGACCCCTGTGACCTTGAAAGTAAGTTGAGGTAATTTTCAATTGCCAACTTTGTTCGGCTTTTACCAACGAAGCTACTAGCCGCATATTAAGATTTTATACCTTTCAGCTCTTCAGAAGAAGTCAT